TTTTTTTTTTTTTTTTTGCCAGAACATCAAATATAAGCATGATATGGTTAACTTGCAAAATAAATAATATATTATACCACTAACACATTTATATTAATATAAATTTGATTTTAGTATATATATTTACTCTTTGACATAAAAAAAATACCAGTATGTATCTCGTGCGATGCACGAATCAGATATGTTAAATGAGTCATTCTAATAGGACATGTCCGTTTAGGCTTGAAAAATAATAGAGTTGGATCCACTTCTTTAATCACGTTGTTTTTTAGTCATAACGTTTAACTCGAGCATATTAGTCCTAGTCTACGAATTAATACATTATTATGTCAAATCATATATAAAAAATAATAATAATTTTCGTATATAAGGGTGAATGTCCTTGAATCTCTAAAAGATTACGTGTCAGGTTTTGTTGTTTTTCCGCATTAGTCATTACAACGTGACGATGACTCATTATACTTTCTGAAAAATCAATAAAAGGCATTTTTATTATTGAACATATCATCAAGAACAAGTCAATAGTAAAATTTAAAACATAATTCAACAAAATATATAAAAAAATGATTTTAAATATATAAAAACAGTTGTAAAGTAAAAGATCATTAACAGTAATTTAGAAACCATCACAGTATGACAATCAAACAAAATATGACACTGATTTAATATTGGCCCGATATTATTAAATTTTCGGACATTAATATTTAACCCATATGTTCGGTCCAATGCGCCTATTTTTCCATGCCATAATAGGTAGTCTACATACATTAAATAAAAATTTTCACACCTTTAAAAATGTCCCATAAAATTGGCTCAATATACATTTACATGAATGTATCCAGCCAAAAAACATATATACCACATCACACAGTTCAAATTTGGTCAACAAGATCCAACAAAACTGATTCACTGGCTTCGTCTATAAAAGGCGACAATTCTCGATTTTTTAGGGTTTTCCTCCAACCATCGAGCCGATACTCATTTCTATGACTTTTTCCAGTGAGAATTTCAAAATGGAAAACAATTCACAATCCATTTGAACAAAATTGTTTTTCATACGAAAAATAGATAATCGGTTACAGATTGAGTAAGGCATATGTGCTTCGTGCCGTCGCGGTGCATCATTCTTTGTAGAGACAATCGGATGTCCTCCATGCCCGCCGATAGGTCTGCCATCTCACGGCCAATAGCCTGAAACTGCCGTCCGAAACATCGCCCTGCCGTGGGAGAGATTCGATCGCAGCATCCCGTCTATCGTCAGTCGTGTCGTTCCTTTTGGGCGCATCGTGGATCGTAGCTAAACTCTGAGTACCAACTGATGTAGCGCAGCGTGAAACAAGATATAAAATCTCAAAAGTTGTAATATTATTGATCAACTGAACGTGCAGAATAGAGGAGAAGAAAATAAACAGAGTCCAAACATGCTAAAAGACCTGTCTTCCTAACCAAGTAAATATTAATTAAGCAACTATTAAATAGGAAAGGGAAACTAAGGAATAATAATAATAATAACTAGGAAATAAATAACTAAATTAAGGACAACATCCGATCATATTTCTCGAGAAACGCCAATGCGATCTCGTCTCCATCAGTCCTTTGGTTCAGTAGTATCATGTTCTTTATGCTTTTTTCTGTACTTCTAGTAGACCGTTTTGGTGAGTGTGCTATTTTTCATTTGGGATTGCAGCTGCTAATGAATTCAGACTCTCCTGTCTTTTTAGTGTGTTGTATTAACTTTGTCTTCTTGACTGAGCTTGTTGCTGTGGAGTCTAAACCACTGGATGGATGGTTTCTGTTGTATTTGACTTGAATGGGGTTGTTGTGCCTTCCGAGTCTGTATATTGTTTTAGTGAAACGAAAATCTATCGTTTGAAAAAAAAAAAACAAAAAAAAGAAAAAAAAACTAGCTATGGTCCCAATAATACAAAGTCTTAATAATCAGATGAAAAGAATTGTATAATCATCTTTGTGTCCTCTTCAATGAATAAATAGTCTAATAATAATAAAAGTTTTGAGCTGACATGCAACGAGACAAAGGTTTTCAATCACGTATTGAGCAAAAAAGTTTAAATTCCTTAAACAATACAGATACCTTCGTCTTAAAAGCCAAACAAGATCTTTTGTGTTCTAATTTTTTTCAGAGTAATACAAACTTACAAGATCGCCTCTATATTTAAAAACAAACAAGCGAGTCAGATGAACTCAATTTACTCCTAATTAAAAGATAAAACATTTAATTCATACGTCAACGTGATTATGTGAAATACCAGTAGCTTAGGTGGTAATAACAAATAACAAGATATTTATGATAATCAAATTGAAAGTCATATCTGCACACAGCACACTCGAGTCGTCGTGCCATGTCCAAATTTGGGGAAATGCTATACGGTCCCGTTATGGAACCATTCTGTCGGGATTTCTAACCGTTAGATTAACTATCCCCAATGACTACATTATGATCTAGCGGTTACAAACTCCGACGGAATGATTCCGTAACAGGGGTGTAGTATCTCTCTCAATTTTGGAACAGTATTCACATTTCTTCAAAACACTAGAGAGAAATAGTTTGTATCTACAAAAAAACTTGAGTAACATTAATAAAAACAGCTAAAAGATTCAAAAAAAAAGGAACAATAGAAACTCGAGAGCAAAATACATCAGTGATAATCTCTGCCATCTATCAAGATGAAGTTATCCCCTCCACAAACACAGCTACAAACAACAAAATACAAATTAAGAAGATACAAATACTTTCAGTTACCGCCTAAATCTCCATGCAGAGACCGAGTAAAGCGGCCGATCATACCAGCAAATCACGACACACCCACTCTCTTCCTTGATCCTGTAACCCTCACACTTGAACCCCTGCACCAATCTCTTCCCTTGCAGCATCGCGTAATAACTCAACGGCACATTACCAAAACCGGCTGAGTCGAGCCTCCGCCCCCACTTCTCGAGCTTCTCGTGCCTTTCCCTCCTCTCGCTCCCTTCACAAGCTATGATATTCTTAATTTCTTCGCCGAACAAACTTTTCTCCATTTTCAACCTTTCCAAGGATGCCCTCGGCAGAGTAGACTCCAGACAGTCGAACAAAGCCGCATAGAAATACAGAGACTCGGACATCCTCTCCATTAGGCTCCTCCCATTGTGTTCCGAGTCTTGCTCGGCCACCACCATAATCTTTGGAGACAAACCACGCAAAGCACTAAGAAAACTATCTAATGTCGATGAAGGCTTTGAAGATGATGAAGGCGGTGATGAAAAGGACGAGTCGTTACTCGGGCTACGTCTATTTAATTCCTCGAACGTCCTCTGCAAGTGAACCCCAAGCAATGGATACTTATTGCTAAAATCATTATTATTATTCGCAGCTAAAAGGGAGTGCAACTGCAAAACCGAACTAACGGCTAAGGCCTCCCCTGTCTTGACCCGTAAATTTTCAACATCGAGACTTTCTAAAGAGGTAACAACGGGGTTAAACTGAAACGGGAGATCCAATTTTTCGGCCTCATGGGTCAGCACGTTGGCCATCTTCTCCAGAACCTCCTTGTTCGGATGAATACCCGTGATCCTCAAGTGAGGCGGGCCCTCGGGCCGGGCGCTGAGGTCCCGTATGAGGGAACACCACTGCGCGGGCTCGGTTGCATTCAAGTCAACCACGTGGACCATTTTCTCGCCCTCCATAGCCTCGACTATCGCCTGGTTGCCGATGACAAAGGCTGCCTTCAAAAAAGGCAGGAACTCGGAAAACATTTTCCAAGCCAGAAACTTTTCGGAAAAAGGGGTCTCGTTAGTCGAGCGGAAGGCCTTGTACAGGCCGGGCCAGGCTCTGAGGGCCCGGTCGGCCAGAGCCTCGGAAAAGTAGGAGGCGATGCGCTGCATGGTGTCTCCGGCCGGCGAGGCCAGTTGGGACATTTGGTCGAGCACCATGTTCGCGAGGTCAAGGCCGCCGCTGGACACATGGCTAGCGCACGTGATGAGGAGGTGGATTAGGTACAGCCCTCTCTCCTCCGGCTTCAGGTCCTTCAGCCATGGATATGGAGAGATCGGGCCTGGGGATGGTGACGTCATGGGAAGGGCTTGGACAGGGGTTGAGGTCACGGAGGATGATCCGTCTTCTTGAAACATTTGTCTTCAGACAATTAAATAACGCGAAGATTAAGGAAACAATAAAATTAGAGGGATCAAAGTAGGAAAATTAGATAAAATATTTCAAGAACTCACCAATCTGATCAAGATTTATGAATTCCTTTCTGGGTTTTGAAATTCATCAAAAGCCCACAAAAAAAGACCCAAGCTTTTTCCACAAACAGCTACCACAAGTCCAGAATTGAAAAACCAGAGAGATAAAGAGAGAGAGAGAGAGAGAGCGAGAGAGAGGAGTTTTTGTACTTAGAATTTAAGGATATTTATAGGACTTTTTTTCTTTTTGGTAGTCGGAACTATGTCTTGATTAATCCATTGATCGACCCGAGTCGCACACCTGACAGTAGTTGATGAGTCTCCCAACAAAGGTTTTCTGCATCCACGATGACTCGAAACCGAGACCTTGCTAATAGGACTTTAATGAAATGTCAGGGAGCAAATTTTTACGTGGCCACGTTGTGGAGTAAGCGTGAGGAGGAGTTTGTTTGTCGTGACTGGTTTTTTTTGGTGTCCTTTTTTGCATGTTGAAGAATATATGGAGTTTGTGAGAACAAAAAAGTGATCTCCATTCTATGTATGATGATATTGATACTGTGCATCACTTTGTCCTTTTTTTATCCCTATATTTTGTGCTTTTGTATCTACTAAAGTTAAGAGGGAACTATTTTGAAATTTGTACTCATTCTCTGTCTACCACTTTCTGTTGTCTTTTTCTTCGTAGGAGCCATAAAATTGACAGTGATGGGGTTTCTCTAGGAAATTCATTGCTTTTTTAAACTAATTGGTGAACATAGTATTTGTCCAATTACTACTATATTTTCAATTTGAGCCCAAAAGCACTGAGCTTTATAAAAAAACTCCCTATATATAATTCCCGAATGCGCTGAGCCTACGTGGCTGTTTCTGGTGATTCGGAATCCTATTTGGCAAAGAATTATGCTTCGTACGTAATTAGGTTTGGATAAATAATATTGATATATTAATAATTAATAATCTAGGTTCGGGTATTCCATAAATATTATTTAGTTAACTTAGGTATTTTAGTATCACTTTTACTAATATAACCCTTTAATTCTTTGTAATTTTACATAGTGAGGCACTAAGTGACTAATATATCCCTGAATTTTGATTTGTTTCCTTCAATAAGCTATTGAATTACATATGTATTTTAAAATTTGATAACTTTTGTATTTCTTATCCGTTTTACATATATAATATATCAAATTAATCATCTTTTGATGATCTTCGATTTGACATCCATATTGTATATATGAAATAAATATATTATATTTATCTTTATAATAATAAAAAATAATAATATTTATTAAAATTCATTAGAAAAATAAAATTATTTCTCAATTGATATATTTATATGTAATGTAGTTATATATTGTAAGTTAAAAAATATTAGTATAATAGAACACCAGTAAGTTGCACAAATAAAAAGTGTCCTAATAAATATATAATAATATATATATTCTTATAAAAGGTATTTAAATTTTCAAACTACTTTTTCTCATTAATTTTAAATTTTTTTAAAAAAAAATTAACAAACACCCGTGTAATACACGGGTGTTGTACTATTAAACATAAAACCATACTTTTTTTGAAAATATTGAAATAAGGTTTATCTTGTTACTCTTTGTCTTGATTGTTTCAACTTGCTTTAGAAAAGACATTAGTTGAGGCTTGTCAAAATACACATATGTGTGTGTCTAAGGTCAGAAAATTTGATCAGGGCACTGTCCCCACAAATGTGTGTTTACGCCGTTGATTTCACACACACCCAGGTGGATAAGTGTGTGCATAAATTAGTGGTGAAAAACATATTGGACAGTGCCCCACATGTAGGATCGAACTTTCTACAAGACATTAACAAAATTATTGATACTTTGTGTTTACATTTACAGGGTAAAGTTGCGAAAGACATGAAATGAATATGATTTTTCGTTTCTTCAAATATGTTTTTAACTCATTACATCAACATTTGATCGTCATTTTTTTTATTAGGATAAATAACTTTGAACTCCGAATTATCACCATTTTTTTTTTTTTTTGCAATTTGTCATATATATATATATTTTAATTAATATGAGCTATATAGAGTTTTCACTTTGCCTCCATATCAAATTTGAGTTCCAAAATTTTCCAAATAGGTGCTCTCTAATTTGTCTTTTAGCTATTTCATCATATAGGCTATCATTTCATAAAATCAGGGTACGACTCAATGAAAAAAATAAAAAAAAAAAATAAATTCCATTTTATTTCATCATTTCAAAAAATCTTACATATGTGGCCAGTATTTCATCTTACTCTTACGTGTCAACAAAACAATTTGACGTACCTAAACACAAAAGGTTCAAAAATAAAAGGGAAAAAAAATAAAGTTAAGCCCAACTCTTGCTTACTATTTGCTTTGGCAGACTTATAGAGGACGCTTGGATACAAATATTATCACAAATATTCAAACATTTTTAACTTTAACTAATTTTTTTTTTTAACTCTAACTCAACTATCATCAATATTGTCAGTTTAATAAATAATATCAACTAATCATTTTTACGTATCACATCAACTTTAACTAACTATTCATCGACTCACATAAATTAGTATTACAAATCATTTTTCTCACACTTTTACATCAAATCAACTTTAAATATTTTATTTTAAATATTATTTTAATATATCCACTAAAAACTAATCACACCACATTTTTCAAAATTTCAAAACGAACCAAAAAATCCAAATAAATCCAAAAAAATTTATATCCAAGCATCCCGAAAAATATCACTCTCACACTATAGGGAGAGAGATACAAAAATTTGGAACCACTTTTTTCTTTTGTATTGTTTGTCTTGACATAAGGTGGATAGAGAATCAACAAGGGGCTGCCTGAAAAGTCTTTAATATTATTCTTCAACCCTTCACTACCCTCCAAACATGCCCTAACAAAGCCAAACAAATGTGCCCCCATCAATTTTGTCCTTTGTGTTTCTCAAGTTTTTGGAGTTGGGAGAAACTCTCCCACATAACTCCAAAAAACTGGTTTTGTTTTCTAGTGTGGACACCAAAAGTCCTCCAAATTGGTATTTATCTTCACACTTGAAGAAAAAAACAGTAGAGGTTCAAGGAACACGACAGAAGGTAAAATATCGGAAAATGCTACAAGTACATAATAAATGTACACAGAGGTGTACGTAACACTCACATGAAGTGGGATCCACTTGATTTTTTTTTATTTTTAGTGGGTCCACTCAATGTGAGTGTTATGTACACCCTTATGTACAATATTATGTACTTATAACATTGCTCGTAAAACACCACTGTATCACAATTGTCAATTACAAGATTTGGTAATAGTCATCTCTCATGACCAATTCTTTAACTAACTACTAACTACAGTAAAGATTAGTATCTTTCCATTGTTATCATGTTACTGCTGTGACAAAGGGGCAATTTGGTCATTCACATGCTATGAGGAGATGCCATGCTTGATGACTTTAGGTGACCAGTAACATCCAAGACAGCATGTTTCACAAATTAGAAAACATCCATAGGGGGAGATACTACTCGAGAGCCCAGAGTTATGAACACTATTGAAGTGTTTCTTTCGTTGTATGACCAAAACTTAGAAGCATTATTGTCAGTGTTAAAAGGATAAAGAAGAAAATAATCAAGTTTACCAATCTTTATCGGACCTTCTATCTGGAAAATACTCGCGTTTTCTAACTCGTGAGAGAGAGAGAGAGAGAGAGAGAGAGAGAGAGAGAGAGAGAGAGAGAGAGAGAGAGAGAGAGAGAGACCATTGAAAATTAGCAATTTTGAAAGTCTTTCAAGAAGTTGTTGGCTTCTCCAATCAAGAATGCCTCCACTTCCCATCAGCTCAATTAGGTACCTAAAAAGAACCAAAAATGTAAACTCATTGGTGCTTTTGTATTAGTTCTTCTTGTAGGGCATAGCAGTTTGTAGTCCCGCTCACCTGCCCACGGTGGGCAGTGCCCATCACTCTTTTTTACATGAAAAACGTATTCTGAGAATACGTTTTTCATGTAATAAAAAGTGGTGGGCAGTGGCAGGTGAGCGGTTCTATAGCAGTTTGAATACAATTAAAATTATAAAAAACTAACTTAAGAAACCAAGAAAGTTCTACAATTACACTCCTGAAATAGAGAATTTGTACCAACTGGCTCAAAATAGAAAGACTTGTAATATCTTGATGTTTTTGTTTTCACAGTAATTAATTTATGCATGTCAGTGCCTGTAAAATTCCCAAAATCTTCATCTTGCCATTTGAGTAATACCGAGACATACCCCTGACCTTTTAATAATAAGAATCTTTGCAAGGTGATAAAAACTCACCATTACATCTTTGTTTCTGGAGCCGAGAAAGGCAGACTGCAATCTGAGCACCTACGCGAGCATTGTTTTTCACAAGAGCAATGTCTAATCCTTAATTAAGAAAATCCCATTTGGTGACATTTAAATTTAAAAGAAATATGAATTTACGCACACAAGAATTGACTAGATATAATCAAAGTGTTGCCCTTTATTTATTAAGACCAGTTGATAAAGGATACTCGACAAAAGAGAGGCTCCTCCAGTTAGCTCATTCACTCTAGCAAGTAAGAATGGAGTTTCAGCACTGCCAGTTATATTCTGCTCCCTGTTTCTCATATCCAATCCATTATCAAATCGTAAGAATATAATTTAGAAAAATGCAACCAACGCGTAATCGATTCAGAAAAAAGGACTCGGGTATATTTCAAAATTACAAATATCCATTGACATTTGTTTGTTTTACAAATTACAGCATTGAGGATATTTAAGAAACTTGCAAACCTTTGAGTTAGTAATTTTTAGCATTTGAACATTTTTTTTTTTTCACTTAGTTATGGCTAACCCCAAATTGCAATGTTCGTAATTATCTGCAATGTTCGTAATTATCTATCAGAAGGCATAAATATTTAACGTAGTAGATGACCATGAGGAGTCGACTACCGAGCTTCATTGAGAGCTGTCTGTATTGCTGACTCAATTATGTTTCCTGAGGCAGAATGTTCGCTTGGTATAGGGACTGCAATCAGAATCCCACTCCCTAGCTTAAGATTAATGTTTGTATCTAAAATACACGACAACACTGTATCAGCAAGTTAATACAAAAGGGAAATGATAGCACTATAGCAATAAGAGGACATTACAAACTGCACCTATCAGTCGAGCAAAGTCTTCAGGGGAGTCGAGACGGGCCGGTGCCTGTTTTAAAAGTGAAAAATCAGAAATGAATAGAAGAAACAAATATAAAGAATCATGGATATATGTAATATACATTGGGCAATGAAAACTGGTCCACCTTACATAGAATATCAGTACATGAATATTGAATATCGTAACTTTCATTTGCATCATCCGACCTCTTTTATTCAATTTGGCAAGCCAGACGAGTCATAGAATATTGACTAAAGGTGTATTGCTATCCGTGAGGTACCGACATTATGAAGACTTCTTTTGGCCTTAGAAAGCTCTGAGAATTTGTTTGGATTAATAGACAATTATAAAATGTAGGATGGATGGGATTTACAGAAGTTTTGATGTTTCATTTTAGTTATGTAACTTCTTGAGACGTTTAGCAACCTACCGATATAGAGAAAGGGGATGATTTCAACTACTGCCAAACCAAGGTCACACAAATCACAAATGTCCTGCACATCTGAGGGGTCTTTTTGTAAATATCTACATTACAAAACAAAACATGACAAAATTACCTTACAGCCACTCTTTTCAGTGAAGAAGGCGGGGAACTCATTGGTTCGATACGCCGCAACACAAACTCCTTGTGTTTCCTATTTCATAAAAAATGTATATTTCTATTCATAAAGCATGCCTTTCAGTTTTGACAACTAGATTGGGGGTGAAAATGTGGTTACCAAATACTCGAGGGTTCTTGGAATATCTAAAATTGATTTCACACCTGCAGAAACTACAGCAACAGGTGTTCTTCCCAACTCAGTGAGATCAGAAGAAATATCCATAGCTGTAAAAAGAAGGATTAAAAGAGAAATAATGATTACCGGATATTTCAAAATTTATCATTAGATAATCAAGAATCAGACGTAGCAAATCAAATGCTTGAATTATACTCCAAGAACAGTCCACTTTGTCACATAATACATCATAATTATCTAACAAGCAACTCCTCTAGTCATTGACAGGATAATGTAACAGTGGCCACTGTACTAAAATTTAGATAATATACCAATTGCAAGCATTTCACATAAGTGTCAGTATTACTGGATCAATACTAATTACGATATCAACGAATTACGAATTTTTCCCTCATTTAGAATCATGACCCTCGTAGAAACCAACTCTAACCGAAAATAGATTCATCAACATTATACATGCTTATTCGATATCTTCAAGGATTCAATCCAAGAACTAAATATATTCCAATCACTACTCAAAGCAGCAAGCAGGAAGCATACAACTCTCGCCATGTCTATGCACTCCACCAATACCACCAGTGACAAATATTGGAATCCCGGCCTGCAAAAGGTTGAACAAAAAGTCAGCAAGTACAATTTGGTTATTTGGAGGTGCATAGGAAGAAGTAAAAAAACATAATGAAATAAACATTAAGATTACCATGGATGCAAAAAACATAGTGGCAGAAACAGTTGTGGCGCCATTCCCTTGGGTAGCCACCTGAGAGGATTAATTAGAATCAGGTTTGAAGTTTTCAATTCGTGTCTAGAAAAGACGATACGAGTCACGAGATGAATAAACGTTCAATGCATGCCACTGATAACAAAATTATGCACATAAGAGCTATGGGAATGCCAGATAGTTAATTTTACCCAGATTAGATGTTATATGCTCATATCCTTGAAAATTTTTCCATAACAAATATTTCACTGAGGCATATGTATATTTTCAGCATAAAACCAGATACAAATAAATACCTAGAGAATGATAATTTGATCTGAATAAGAGAAGATAATAAGGTCTGCTATGGTGCAGTCAAGTATTTAGCAGTTCACATTAACATAGAACAAGAACTACAATCATTAGATACTCACAACATGTGCAATGTCCCTGCGAGCTGTCTTTCGAGCTTTTCTTCCTAGGATAGCCAGCCTCTCAAGTTCCTCGACAGACAAACCTTCAAAAGGTAGTAAACACTTCACGTTAGCTTCACATTGGACATTCTTTACCATCATATGTTTTCTCTCATTCATTAAGGAAGCAAGTGAACCGCAATAACAACAAAGATGCAGAATGCTAGTTATTGATTCGGGGGAAGGGGTGTGGTCCCACATGGGTGAACCGCACCATAAGATGGCGAGTGTAGATGCATCTAAGTGAAGTTCCATCCTAAAACCAATTGGTGATGGGAGGACTAACCCACTAGGCTTATAAGCTAGGCCCGTTCGCCCTATAGAAGCAATGTGGGACAATTTACAAGTGATATTCCAAAACAGAAAAACATAAACATCAAGGCAAAAACACTATTTATATGATCATGAAACCATGCTAGAATCATTAACCGCTATCCTTAAAGGAATAAATAGTCTTAGAACATGAACAATTGGTTACTTATCAATGCACCAGATTCAGATATGGTTTATGAATTTTGCAAATAGAAATAGTTTATTTGAAACAAGAAATTCCAAAAAAAACAATTGGAATGCCAATGACGATTTGCAGTCTTCCACTTTTATCCTAGTATGAATATACAAACCGATTCTAACTACAGAAGATCAGCACAATGAACTAAACCGGGTAAAAGTAATTAAAAGGCAACGGGGTTTAGATGATAATTGCTTTTAATTACCATTAGGATCTTGGAACTGAATTTATAAATTTTGTTCTGATGCAGTGATTTCATTGCAATTTGCAATGGTGACACAAATCCTCTCGTAAGGCACTCGTATTTCCGAACATTTACAAGAAACACAACCAGGACGACCAAGAAAACTCGAACAAAATTTTAAGATATGGGTTTAAATAAACACCTATGCACGGTATGCCATCCAAAATAGCAACAGTGGCAGGTACCGCTCCATTCTCTCTTACTATTGCCTCCACTTCTTTGGCTGTCTGCAAGTTCTGAGGATATGGCATTCCTAAAAACAACGTAAATAGAATTGGAGAAGCAATTGTTTGAGTACATTGAACATGAATCTTGATGTAAAGTAAGACAATTCCCTATAAGGTTTAGGAACCACAGTATTAGTCTAAAAGCCTAATTACAAAGAACTAGTATCTTGTCATCTGTAGGTAGAACTTCCCACAGCATTCAGGCAAAACAACAAATAATTTGTAGTCATTCTGTTTTTCGAATGGACTTCCCCCGAATTGATTCGAATTATCCGCTTTTCGACATTCTTGAAGCAAATCAAGAAATGTATATCCTTAATCCATATCTCTGCTTGCACATCTTACCATGAGAAATAATGGTGGATTCAAGAGCAACCACTGCTTTCCCAAGAGATAAAGCTTCTGAAACTTGTGGGGATATCTTAACTGTCCCTCTACCCTGCAAAAACATATTATTGATCATACAAGAAGCACTACTACACATGCTAAGTTTAATGAGAGACAACCTTAAAAGAAAACAAAAAATATCAGCAGGAAGAGAGGTAAAATACGGCAAGGATTAACAGCTAGCCTCGTATTTTCATGACACAATCGATTTCCACGAAAAAAAACATGATAAGGGGGCGTTAAAAGATTACAACTACACCTTTGGAGTTGAACTTGTCGGGTTGAGGTGTTTTTGGAGGTTGATTATCCTGGAAAGGGCCCAAGATGCCATTGTGAAGGTTTCTTCTTCTTCTTCTTTACTCTCTCTGGCTCTCTGTTTTATTTATTTATTTATTTATTTATTTTTTCGGTGAGTAACCCTCTTATGGTGCACAACATATGGTTAACCGATCGAAACTGAAGTGGATTATTTGGTTCGATTTTCGATTATATTTTTTTTTAAAATTTCGGTTTGGATAATAGTGTTCGGTTATCCGAACCGAACCGAATACTGATACTATTCATTTAAGTTACAAAATCCCATATATTACCCACAAAGCCCATGTTTTCTAGGCCCATTGATAACCAAAAGTATGGAACAATCTAAAATCCAGCCCACCAGACGAGGTCCATTGCTCATTTGAAACATGTTTTTCACTGTATAGAGGTAGAAATAATCCGACGCGTCATACTAAGTCCAGGATGACCCAATCGCTCATACCATAATTTAAATGAATTTGGGTCTTTAAATTTTAAGCTCAATGCAACATGATTAATAGAAGGTCGAATGTAAGTATGGTACAAGCCTGAGGAGAAAGAGGGAAGTTCTTCTACAATTTTATTTTGACTTCCTTGTGAATGAGTCATACGAAGATACTCCATATTGTTTTCAGTCTTAGTTTCAAGATGAAAACCATTAGATCGTATATCTTTAAAACTAAGGAGTGTTCTTTGTGATTCAGGGTACAAAAGCTCATTGTTAATTATTAATTCGGTACCCTTAGGAGAGTAAGTAAAGCTCTGGCGGAGCCTACTATCAAGATTTTATCATGAGCAATTGTAGAAACACTTCCTTTCTTTTCATTGAAAGTTTGAAAAAAATTTCTATCTTTCAAGATAGTATGCGTAGTAGCACTGTCGACCAGACATAAAATGCCCTCTTTCTCCATTAGATGCAAACTAATGAACTGTTGTGGTACACTAAATGAAAAGTAAAACATTGTAAGCAAACGAAATAATCATGAAATTCCAATCAAATCATAACATATGAAAATGTACCAATAGCAAAAACAAACCACAAATGTCTGACGAAACAAAAGAAATCAAAACTGTCTAATAGCATGAAACAAAGGCGTCCTGACGTCGGTACAGTGCAGGAAATTTACCAGTCCCAGTTTTCGGAAACCGGCTAGACCATGAAATAGATGCATATAATCACACATCATCACCATAGTCCTCGAGCTCGAACTTCAATAAATCATCATCATCATCATTGGTGGCTAAATTTGCTTCAGGCAAACTAGCATGATGTGATTCACCTTGAGGAGCCTTTTCTTTCTTGTCCTTGAGCATTCTTTGATAGGCCTCAACTAGATGTCGAGGAGTACGACATGGCGGGACCAATGACCATCGCATCCACATCTAAAGCAAACCTGCTTTTGCTCTTTAGGCTGTGTATGTGAATCGCGTCGATTTAAACGATCCGCCTCAATGTTCAAGTTCTCTCTACGACCTCCCGGGACGTTATCACCATGACCTCGCCCTCCATCTCGAGTCCAAACACGACCACGACCGCGTCCACGACCACGACTGTGACCACGTCCACCACGGGGTGGCTGGGTATGGTATCCTCGACCACTCTCTTGCACATTATGATTCCCGTGAGTAGTCGAATGTGCTTCAGGCACAGCTTGAGTTCCAACCGGCCTAGCATTATGATTTTTCATCAACAATTGATTATGTTTTTCGGCCACAAGCAAGGCCGAAATCAGCTCAGAATGCGTTGCATAGTTCTTAGCCCTGTACTGCTGCTGGAGTACAAGGTTGTTAGCATGAAAAGTTGATAAGGTCTTTTCAAGCAACTTAGCCTCTGTAATGTTCTACTTACAGAGTTTCAACTGTGAAACAATACGATGTAGGGCCGAATTATACTCAGTGGCGGATTTAAAATCATGAAATCAAAGATTAAGCCAGTCAAATTGAGCTTGAGGGAGTATTATGGTCGTTTGTTGGTCAAAGCGATCCTTCAGGGATTTCCATAGATTGGCAGGCTCTTTTTCTGTGAGATATTCATTTTTCAGATCTTTATTGAGATGGTGATGGAGAAAAATCAATGCCTTCGCCTTCTGGGCGGGAGTGCTTTGAGATGCAGGATTAATTGTGGCACTCAAATCAAATGAAGCCAGGTGAATGTCGACATCAAGAGCCCACGTTAAGTAATTACTCCCATCAAGGGCGAGCTCAGCAAATTCTCTTTTGGTGATATCAGACATCTATAATTTATTCAAAACAATAAAATGATGTCTCAATAACAAAGTTGATAGAATTTGATTTAACCTAACACGAGATACATCACTTTAAATATTTATGTATGTGATCAATTCATATAATCATAACAAAGTTGCAATTATATTTTCACAAGTGATATCACAATTGAATCAACAATATCAGGCCCATGATTAATTCCAAAATAAATACAATTCCAAAATTTTGATCCAATCATCATTATGAATCCACAAGAATTCATGGGATACAGTTCCAAACAAATAAATCAGATCGTGTTTTATGGAACAAATGAATCATGTTCGCAAGCAATAAAATAAACTGAATTTATTTAAAAGAATTTCATCAAATTCCATCAAACTTCTGTGCACGTCAAATTAAATAATTGCATCAATACTTAATTGTTCACAATGGAAATCCAAAACACATAAGATGACACGAAAACCGGAGTAATAAGGATCAAAATATTTGGTTTTGGACATACGTACAGATCAAAAATTCAATCATCTGATCTAATTAATATTCAATTACAAAGCAATTGAACATTTCAGACCCAAAAAAAAAAAAGAATCAATCACATACAAAAAATATGATCTCAAAGCAACTGAACAAAAAAATTTGCTACTACCATGAATTTCAATTATTGGATTTACCAGCATGTTGTGTACAATTGAGATTAAAAACAGATCAACCAAGCCAATCAAAAACAGATCAATGATGCAATTTCCGAAATAAGAAAATAAATGGATCTCGAAAATACCTTGCAGGAAAAACACATTTCTTTCCAAGGGCAACACCAATAACAAACTAGAGCGTGCTGATAACGTGTTGTAAATTGAAACTCTTAATCTTCAACAAGCATCCATCAATCCAAGCATAAAAGATGTGCAGTATTAAAGAACGATAAATGAGAAGCAAAAAAAGGTCTTTTTATTCATCGGTATATCACCCTTTTATAGGGTTTACAAGAGAAAAACCCTAAAACCTAATTTCCTAACTAATAGACTTCCGGCCCAATTATATATTAGTAATGTCCATATTAATATACTTATAACACTAACAATCCGAGTAAAGGGTCTAATAGAGACCAGGAAGAAGGCGAGACTTGGATCGCAAGAGGGACAAGAAGTTGATTTAGTTCCAATTTTTGATTGGGGAAGGGAAACAAAAAACATAATTTGCCATATATTGTATTTAGTATAACTATATAATTTTACCATTTTGTTTTTCTATTCTTTTTTTTTTTAAAATTCGACTCAGTTCAGTAATAACCGAGCTTTAGAAAGCCAACATCATTTAAGTTTTGGTTGTAGAAACTTTCGATTAAAATATGTACAATATTGCATAGTATCATTTGAGTTCGGTTCAGTTCAATTGATTTTTCTCCAAAAAATTATGTAGTTCATATCACATGAATCAATTAATCCCGTGTTTGTAGTTTTTTTACCGAGTATGGAATAAATTCCGACCTCGAGTTGTCTTCTCGAAGGAAGGTTGTTCGGAGTTTCGTTCACTATCTAGTCGTCAATTCACAAAACTGAAAATAAGGTCCTAAACACGCTATTCGCTTGATTGGGGGTTGATTTGAACTAATTTAAGCTAAGAAAATGAAAACAAATGATGAAAGATGCAAGTACTGAAAGAAAGATCGGAACTTTGGTTGACCGGAGTTTCCATAACTTGACAAAAATGAAAATAACAAAGACAAAACATGCGAGCAAAGTGATCCTAGGTAATTTAACACGAGCCTTCTTAACTAAATCATCACACTTTGAACAAAGTCGAGACCTTTACACAAGATAAGCACGTATTGAATTCTTATGGCAATTACGTATTCAATGAAAATAAAGCAAGTTCCTAAAATCGAGCGTACAAAAGATTCCGACCAAAACACAAACTTGAAGAAATAAGCCATAATCAAGGTATTTACCCTACTATCGCAAGCTCGGACGAAAATAATGCGTAAAGATCGAATTTTGAATAAAACTAAGATCACCGAAAAATCGCCTGAAAATGTCAAGTCTTGGATCTCCAAACCAAAGCATAAAAATAAAAGAGTGAAAAGAGCTAAGTTCCCAACTAAAAAGTTGGGAAATGAGGGGTGATATCTAAAAATACAAAGCACAATTTCTATTTATAGTTACACCACAAAGACACACTAAAAACACCCACATTTAGTGAAATTCCGAAGTTTGTCGGTCTCGAAACGGGTTTCGCAATGAGTGCAGTGTTGGAGTGGCAGGATGGCGTTCGCTGCGAGTGCACGACTTGGGGCTGCTAGTGGTGCTTGAATCGTTGGTCGCGAAAAGTGGTACGCAACGAGTTCCGGGTAGGTGTGTTGAAGATGCTCGATTCGCGGCTCGTGAACGTTGCTTTGCGGCAAGTGCCGACAGCTTGATGAACGGGCGCTGACTCGCGCGGGAGTGATTTCAGTTCTGCAGCGAGTGTCGGCACAGTGGACGCGGGCTCTCGGGTGGTTGCGAAAAGGATCTCGTTGTAAGTGTGTGTCTGCTCCATGGTATTTGGCGAGCTTGCGGACGGCGTTTCGCGGGCGAGTTCAGGGGCGCGGTTGGCGCACGGTAATGACTAAGAAATGGCCCGAGACGGCTCGGGATAATTCGAACGGCTCAAAAATGTCTCGGAAATGACTTGTCTTTTCAAACACGAATAATTTGGACCTAGTCAACCTTTGCTTTGAGCGAGCCACTTCGATCCCTAGAAAGTCTCTCAGCTTTCCCAGGTCCTTTGTTTCACCAAAGAGATAAGAAAAATACGGCAAACACAAAAACA